GAGGAGCCTGCAGACCTTTGAGGATCTGGGCCGAGGTATCTCAGGTTGGTCACTGAAAAACTGAGGAACACTAATCAGTGGCCACTTAAAAAAAATATTGGCCAAAGCCTCTAGCTCCCTACAGTTGTGAAGGAAACCTTCCCAAGGTGAACCAGCTGTTGCAGCAACCCAAATGTTTTAAGGAGCAATCTGAAGAAGGAGAGGGCTCTTCAAGACACTTTCCCTGCTCCACCAGCATCACAGTACACTACAGTCTTCAACTACCGTATGGCAGTGTTTATTTCCCATTCAGATCCTAAGAAATCCTTAGAAAGCTTGTCTGGGGTTACTCATGCAGGGCCACTGCCCACAACCTCCTTTCCTGCTGTGTCTACAGGGCTAAGGAAACAAGCCTGCAAAGGGTTAAGTGGATGGAGATCAGATGCAGCTGGGGAGGGAGGGCTGGATTTTGGCTACTGTGAGAAGGGGAAAAGGCAGTTGTAGTTGCCAGTATTGACAGGGACAGTTTTGCACGGACTCTGGGGAGGCAGAGGGAGACGGTGTGGGGGAGCTAGGGGAGGGGACAGAATGGGGGGAGGTTGCTGCTGGGCCAGAGGGAGCCAAGTGTGTCACTGGGCAACTGGGGGTGGGGGGGTGGGAGCAGGGGTTGCTGGGATGGGATGGGAATCTGTTGGCTTGGGAAGGTGGGGTGGGAGAGAAGGAGGAGTTGAGTAACATGGGGAGTCAATGGGTGAGTGAGGGAAGCAGGATGGGGTGTGAGTAGACTGAGGGGACAGTGAGTGAGTCAGTTGTAGCAGACCCTCCCCTCCATGGAAACAATTAGTGTAGGCCTTAGAACAGGGGTGGGCAAACTTTTTGGCCTGACGGCCACATCTGGGAATAGAAATTGTATGGCGGGCCATGAATGCTCACAAAATTGGGGTTGGGATGCGGGAGTGGGTGAGGACTCTGGTTGGGGGTGCGGGCTCTGGGGTGGGGCCAGAAATGAGGAGTTCAGGGTATGGGAAGGGGATCGGGGCTGGGGGAGGGAGTTGGGGTGCAGGACGGGGTGCAGGCTCTGGCTGGGGGTGCAGGCTCTGGGGTGGGGCTGGGGGGTTTGGGGTGCAGGAGGGTGCTCTGGGATCAAGGGGTTTGGCGGGCAGGAGGGGGATCAGGGCTGGGGCAGGCAGTTGGGGCATGGGGAGAGGCTCAGGGGTGCAGGCTCCAGGCGGCGCTTACCTCAAGCAGCTCCTGGAAACAGGTGTATGTCCCTTCTCTGGCTCCTACACGGAGGCACGGCCAGGCGGCTCTGCACGCTGCCCCATCCGGAGGCACCGCCCCTGCAGCTCCCATTGGAGCACCGGAGGGGGCCATTGGAGCGCGTAGGAGCCGGAGGGGGGTCATGCCACTGCTTCTGGGAGCCGTGTGGTATGGCACTTGACCCTGCTCCCCGGATGGAGCGCCAGAGCAGGGCAAGCCCTAGACCCCACTCCCCAGCAGGCGTTTGAGGGTTGGCTTAAAACGGCTGGCGGGCCGGATGCGGCCCGGGGGCCGTAGTTTGCCCACCCCTGGCTTAAAATATGTCATGAGAGTATCCTTAGGGCTGCTGGGTGTTGTAATGGGAGCTATAGAATGGCATAACTTTAGCTGCTAGCACTATTCCTGGCAGGGATGGAAGCATCCCCATCCCCATCCCCTCCTGCTACATGGGCTGGGGTGGCAGCTTCCAAGGGTGGGTGTTTTAAACCCCAGGACAGTCCTGGTCAAAACAGCAGAGTTGGGGAGAAGTGATAAGAACCAGGGGGAGCCCCAACCTGCGAGATCACACACTGTTCTTCCTGCAGAACCTGTCTCACAGGGCACACACTGAATAAGGCAAGGGGATGCAGTGACTGATTCCTGCCTCATTCTAACCTTTATTTGTTTGTGGTTAAACACTGTGCAGATCCGCTGAGGGTTATCTATGGACCTGCTCTGAATTAACGCCCACCGTCACTGAGCATAATCTGGTGCCTGGGATGGATGCTCCATGGTGGATGTAGGTGGGGGAACCAGTTCAGCAGAGATGATAAAAGTAACGTATTGCAAAAACAATAGTGTATTTCCCCAACATTTAAATGTATTTAAAAATAAGTAATTTAATTTGATGCCAACCGAGAAAACATTTGATTTTTTGGTAGACAGGACACCAAGTGTCCTGCTTGTGACCTTTTCTCTTTACTCCTGATCAACTAAGTGATTTAAAAATACATGTTGCATCCTTCCCACATTCACTGCTGCTATTACTTAAATTCTAGCTGAAGCTCCTCATGAAATCGGAGCCCTTCTGTGCTAGGTGCTGGACATACACTTTGTAAGAGATGGTCTCTGCCCCAAAGAACGTGCTATTTCCCTATTTTACAGATGGGGAAACTGAGGCAGAGAGCGTGAGCCCATGATTCAGGAAGGTAGCTAAGCATATGCATCACTTCCATGACTTCAGTGGGACTACTCACATGCTTAAGCAGGTGGCTGAATCAAGGTCTGCATAGCTTACCTGAGATCAGATGGGGTGCATGTGGTAGAGGCAGGTCTCCCGAGTCACAATTCATAGAGTTTAAAGCCAGAAGGGATTCCTGTGATCATCTAGTCTGACCTCCTGCATATCACAGACCACAGGACTTCCCTGGATTAATCCCTGTTCAAACTAGTGCATATTTTTAGGGGAAAAAAATCCAATTTTGATTTAAAAATCCAGTTGAGGAGAATCCGCCACAGCCCTTGGTGAGTTGTTTCAGTGATTAACTGTCTTCACTGTTAAAAAATGGAGCCTTATTTCTAGTCTGAATTTGTCTAGTGCTTTAACCACAAGACGCCTCCTCTCTCGCATCCAGCTTGGCCAATGGGGCAGGAGTGCAGCAAGAACACAATGAAAGCCTGTGTTGTGATGTAGACAGGATTTGCTTGCAACAGCTAGTTGAACAATTATGAATAACAAATGCCCTTGTTAACAAACCAACCAAAATAATGATCAGTTGGCTAACAGTTAATGAACAGAGGAAAGTTAAATTAATTGGCTAACATTCGTGAACTGCAAATTGAGGGCTTGGCTTTAATCATCACACACATTCCCCTTGTCAACTGTCTTGGTTGTCTCTCAAGGAAGAGAGGTGTGGTTAGCTGAGAGAGCTCTGCAGGTTGTCAAACCTGATGGTGTGCATTTATAACCCTTCTTTATTAAGTCGATGCCATCAGCCAGATTTTCTCTGAGCTCCCTTCATGCTCCGAGCTGAAGCACTGGGGCTGGTTGAAAGTTTTCCATTTAAACTCTTCTTTGATGGAAAATTGGGAATTTGATTAAAAAAATTTTCATGAAAAGTGCTGGCTTTCTGCAGGGAATTTTGATATTTAATGAAAAACCTGAACACCTGAAATCCAAAGAGATTTCACGTTTGGGCTGAAATATTTCAGGTCTTCCACCATCGCCCACTGTGGGAGGAGGGATAGCTCAGTGGTTTGAGCATTGGCCTGCTAAACCCAGTGTTGTGAGCTCAATCCTTGAGGGGGCCATTTAGGGATATAGGGCAAAAATCTGTCTGGGGATTGGGCCTGCTTTGAACAGGGGGTTGGACTAGATGACCTCCTGAGGTCCCTTCCAACCCTGAGATTCCGTGATTCAATACCAAGATGATTAGTCTTAGAAGTCTGACAGAAACTCCCTGAGCAGGGTGGCCTAGAACTCACCAGCATCCACATGGTGGCGTGATTCCTGGGATTCATATACTAAGTAGTTGTGCTAGATAGCTTTCATTCCTGGGATGGGGCCACCTCCTGTACCTGGGTCAGATGAAAAAACCCAGCCTTGCACCAACCTGTCATGCCTGGGCTCATAACTGAATGCCCAGGGGGAGAGTGTGTGCTAACACAGGACTAGCTGAGTCATCCAGCCAGATTTCAAGGGATGTACACAAGACCAGACACCTCTTTATTATCACTATGATCTGATGGCACTCATTTGTAAAGCACTTGTCACTCCTGGGCTGGTGACATGATGGGTCCTGGTATCTAGGGAGGGAAAGGCCAAAGGAGCAGCAAACTGTTTTTACGCCGATACATAGAACTCACTGAGTGGTTATTGGTTTGTCAAGCACCAAGTACATTGTCAGTGCCCAATAAATAATAATTAATAATAGGTATTTCCCACACCTGTACCTCTCCATTCGCTGAAATCCCCAAACCCTCCACCGGATATTCCCACTACATTTCTCCCTGCTCATCCACTAAAGTGCCATCGTTTTCTACCCTCTGCTGTCATTCCCTCTCCTCCATCCAACATCAACAAACCTCACTATCAGAGGGGTAGCCGTATTAGTCTGTATCCACAAAAACAACGAGGAGTCTGGTGGCACCGTAAAGACTAACAGATTTATTTGGGCCTAAGCTTTCGTGGGTAAAAAACCCACTTCTTCGGATGCATGGAGTGAAAATTACAGATGCAGGCATAAATATACTGACACATGAAGAAAAGGGTAAGGTAACTTATATATTTATGCCTGCATAAATATACTGCCTGCATCTGTAATTTTCACTCCATGCATCTGAAGAAGTGGGGTTTTTACCCACGAAAGCTTAGGCCCAAATAAATCTGTTAAACCTCACTACGTTTCAATTAAAACCTTCTGATGAATCATTTCCCCCCACCCCCATTATTTGCAGTTCTCAGCACCAACGTGCCCACCGGCACCCAGACCCACTCCATCCAAATCCTCTTCATATCCCCAGCCTCTCCCCATCCCAGATGCATTCCACCCCGTACCCTGTGTGCATGCTCAGTTTCCATTCACTTGTTAAAGAAGGGCTAGATTGTGATGTCCTTGCTCACTTTGGGTAGCATCTTATCCCATCAGCAGCCCCATTATAATCAACCAGGTGATACCTGGGGAATAAAGCACTACCAGGTGCAAGCAAGAGTGTTACAATCTGATCCTAAGCGTTTCAGCAACAAATTACTCATCAGTCTGCAAATATCAAACTCCACTAACCTGGTGGCTCTTTTTTTTTCTGGGAGAACGGGAAGAAGGTGAAGAAAAAGAAAACTGCAAAAGCAAGTGACACAGAAATGAAAAGTTTGGACCCAACTACAGAGAGGTCCAATGGAGACCACATAACCGGAAAGTGCATGCTTTCCTCCCTTATATTTATAGACATTATATCAGCCCGCTGGAGCAGCTGCCTCTCCCATGCCTCCCTCTTATTGGCTGATATAAAGGGCATGGCCTTACATTGAAGAGGTTTGAATCACATTGCCTTGCAAACTAATTTTAAAAACCAGGGCCTGATTCTCACTTGCACTAAGGCCTCTTTATGTCAGTCTGGCAGCGTAAAAGTGCCTTGAAGTGGGTATAAATGTCCTCACCCCCCACTGAGAGCACCCTCCGCACAGAGGGCCACTGTGGCTGATTCAGAACAGAGATAAAGGCTCTACGACAGCTCTACCATTAGCCCACAGCATAGGAAGTGGATAAGGGATGTAGCCAGAGTGCACCGCACTGCCCCCTAGGAAGTAGAGTATAAGTCAGGACAGCCCTACAGTTTCTCTGACTTACACCAGGATTCAGGCCAGGCACGGCCACAGAATACAGGGAATGCCAAAGTGGCTTCAATCTACCTTAAACCCCCTCCACCCACCCATCGTTCCTGCCCCAAGTGCAGAAAAATAACTCAACACCAGGCCTATAAAATTTACTTTATTTCAGTTATAAATGGTTAATTTCAACTGCTCAGCGAATTAAAGTTACAAACAGAATGGCCTTTTGGATTCTCACTGCAGAAAGCACCATCATGATTTGAACGAACAGCAGGATCGTATTCTGCGTGAACTACCACAAAGGCTACTCCCGTGGGAGTTGGAGTTCTCCATTCATTCCATGAACAGAAGCCCCGAGCTAATGGTATTACTTCTAGTTGAGCAAAGGATGTGAAGACAAATAATTAACCAGACTGATTCATGGGCATGGCTAAGCAACCAGAAATCACGGGGAGGTGGGGACAGTGTCCCAATACAATGATTATTATCTCACGGAAGTGCTTTGTAGTGAATGGGTCCAGCATCATTAGCGAAGCTGACAAGTTCAAGAGGAATGCTGTAATCTTGCATGTACACGAGCAGTGGATAGGAGTCCTTTCATGGCCAAGAAGTAACACAAATCTTTTACTTACTCCTGTGAGGTAGGTTTTAAAGATAAGAAGACAAACGCTGGATGACGGCTGGGTCTTGTAGTGTCACCCGTCAAAGCCAGAATACAACCTCAAACACAAACACGTTTTGAAGGCCAAGTCAGGGTTGAGAGTATGCTCCTTCAAACATAATTACTTCTATTCAGTGAGCAACACAATGCGAGTCACACAACACATGGCAAGGCAAACAGGCCCACAGGATGATGGGAAAGGCTATAGGGAATAGGGAAAGACTAGTTCAAAAATACCCAAGGGAAACAGTAGCTCCCAAGATAGTATATATTGCCTGATGCCAAAGACTGTATGCATCAGTGCCTGGAGACAATTGTGCAGCTTCAAAAAGAGAAAGCAGGTCCACAACCTCTCTTGTTCTACTCCCCAATGAGACTGCCTTGTATTATTATTGCTTATTATTTGTAATATGGTAGACCCAAGAGGCCCGCCATAGGGAAACATAGACAGCAGCCAGGGTCCCATTGTGCTAAGTTGGAAAATATAGTAAGAGACAGTTCCTACCTCGAAGAGCTTGCAATTGAAATAGACAAGACAGACAAAAGGTGGGAAGAGAAAGAGAGGCACAGAGACAAGTGACTTGCCCCAGGTCACACAGCAGGTCAATGGCAGAGCCAGGGCCGCCCAGAGGATTCAGGGGGCCTGGGGCAAAGCAATTTCGGGGGGCCCTTCCATAAAAAAAAGTTGCAATACTATAGAATGCTATATTCTCGTGGGGGCCCCTGTGGGGACTGGGACAAATTGCCCCACTTGCCCCACCCCGGGTGGCCCTGGGCAGAGCTGGGAATAAAACCAGATATCCCAAGTAGAGCAAGGTGACATTTTTCAGATGAATAGTTTATTTGCTGAAAAACGCAGTTTTGATCGACCCAAAACTATATGTGAATTTGCCTTGGTTGGTTTAGGTTGTTAGTCTTATAAAGCCAAAGAGAATGACAATGACACGTTAGTCTGGTGATTAAGGCACTCCCCTGGAAGTAGATGTGGATTTAAATCCCTCTTCTGAATCAGGCAGGCAGGCAGAAGATTTGAATCCACATATCCTACCTCCCAGGTGAGTGCCTTAATCACCAAGCTAAACAGTTGTTTGCTTTCCCTGGCCCAATGAGGAACAATATTTTATACAAAGTAGAAGACCTTCAACAGGAGAGCTTGAGACCAGACTGGTGGTTGGGCTGATCACCTATGTGGGGGGAGATTTGAGTTCAAGTTCTACTGCAAGAGTAGGGATTCAACCCTGGTTTTACCACATACAGGCAAGTACCCTCACCACTGGGATAAAAGTAAACACACAGTTTTCTGCAGCTGACTGAATTTTTTCAGTTTGTTTTGATTTAAGTTTGCTGGCCAAACCAAGTTCCAGTCTGGCATCTATATGTACCAGGCCATGCTGCCTCAGCAAGCTTCATAGAAAGGGTCAGGTGCACTCCAAGTTTCCCTCATTTCCACCGACCCCTCCAGCTGAAATATATTTTAAAGTAGTTTCAGCAGAAGTGGGTTTCTGAAAAGCAGCAGGGCTGGCCCACTCCCAATTGGATAGAGCAGGATAATTTATTAACGCAGGGTGAAAAATATTTTTTTGGTGAACAATTTAGATTTTTCAACCAAATAATTTATTTATTGGGGGGGGGGGGGGCAAAAATGTCAAAACTGAACTGTTTTCACAATACATTTTGATTTTGAAGAAAGCTGAAAAATCTCAACCAGCTGTGTGACTTGTATAGCATCCAAATGATAGGTCCTTTGAGGACAAGTATGAAGCCAAGAAGATAAAGTCCCTCCTCCAAAGTACACACCAGGCTAACGGCTTGTCTACACTCAAATGTATACTGGTATAAACTAAGACATACCGACAGTTATTCTGGTCTCACCTCCTGCGTGGACACTCTTATTCTAGTAGGACTGCCTTCTTTTGGTTTAGTTTATGTCACTGGGGAAGGGGCTTAAGATAAATGAAAAAAAAACTATGCTTATACCAAAATAAAAGTTTCCACGTGGGGGCTATCCTGGTATAACTGGTAAATCTTGCCTGTGATAGCATAAAAAATGCGGTGTTCTGTATATGTATATGACCACATGCGTCTGACGAAGTGGGTATTCACCCATGAAAGCTTATGCTCCAATACGTCTGTTAGTCTATAAGGTGCCACAGGACTCTTTGTCGCTGTATATGTAGGTGTTTTTTGGTCTCCATCACCAGGGCGTACAGGAACGCCATGTCACTGAACACGGATGTCCGCTGCTCACTCCGTTTAGATTGGATTTTGTTCTTTAATGTCACTGTCTCTCTTTGTGGGGGGGAGGTGGGAAGAGATTTTTAAGGAAAGCTTGACGGCTCCCTCCCCCCTAACTTTTTAACGTACCTGCATCTGCCACCAGTAGGGTGACCAGACAGCAAATGTGAAAAATCGGGATGGGGGTGGGGGGGTAACAGGAACCTATATAAGAAAAAGACCCCAAAATCGGGACATCTGATCACCCGAGCCACCAGCAGCTGCATCGCTCCCAGGTGACCCCCAGCTTGCTCTCCTCCATGGGGCTTTTGCTTCCCCCTCCCCCCCCGGGTGCGTGACCCCTCTCTCCACTCCCCCCCCCCAACCAACCTACTCTGAGCCCGACCATCCCCCCTACCGCTTAACCCCCGGAGCACTGCGCCCCCAGGGTGACGTCACCCTCCTCTGCCTCCCCCAAGAGCCCCCCTCCAACCCTGGGGGGGTGACACCGACCAACCGTCGCTCCTCGCCAGCCCCCCCATCCCCTGCTGTGACACCCCCTCCCCCCGCGCGGACAGCCCCACCCCACGCCCTGGGGGTGACGCTGACCGCGCGTTTCCCGACCTGCCCCGCGCCGAGGCGCTCGCCGAACGATCACTTCCGCTCCAGCCCGCCTGGTTTCCGGCCGCCTCGTTGCCGGGATTTGGGGTGAGGGGCCCGCGCGCTCCGCCTGGTTCCGCTTCCGGTAAGAGAGTCCTGCCCGCTCCCGGTGCGCCCCCCCCCCGGGACCTCGGTGTCCGTCCCCCCGCCAGCTCCCGGCCCGGGCCGTGAGGGACCCCCCGGGTCTTTCAGAGCCCGGCCCCTCACCCTCCCGCCGGACCCCCTCCTCCGCCAGACCCCGCCGTGCTCCCCGCCCCCCCCGGTAACTCTCCCTACCCCCGAGTGCCTCCCATCATGTCCCCCTTCCCCATTCCCTCTGCTTCCACCCCCGTCAGACACCCTGATCCTTGGGGTGTCTCTCCCCCACCTTCCCGGCTGGCCCCCTCCCCCAGAGGTCCCCACCACTGCTGGTGCTCTGCTCCCTCTCCTTGGTGGCCCCCCGTCGCTCTGGCCCCTGAATGCCTCCCACTCTTATCCCTCCCCACCTGCAAACTCCCCTGTCAGACTCTCTGACCCCTTCCCCAAATGTGTCCCCTTGTCCCTCACGTCCCCCTCCACTGCTACTTCCTTTCCTGCTAACATCCTTCTGAGACCTCATGATGCTCCCTCCCCCCAAAATAACCTTTACCCCCAATAATTCCTTGTGTCCCACCACCTGCTAACATCCTTCCGTCAGATTCCTGCGTCTTCCCCTTCAGACCCCTGCCATGGTGGTTGTGTGTACCGTCCCTGCCCTGTCAGATGCCTGTGTCTCTCCTTCTCTTTCCCCATTGGACCCTAAACACACATACCCCTTATGTGTCCCTCTCCAGCTTGCTAACATCTCTCCTGTATCTCCATCTGTAACCCCTATTGTCCCCTGTACCTGCCACTATCCCCCTGTTAGGAACCGGTGTGTTTCTCCCTTATCTAAACCTGAAACCTGCCGTGGATCTCCTTTCCTCCCACTGACCCATCCCCCTGTTCTCCCCACCCCCACATACACACAGTAACCCCTAACAGTTCTTGGTGTTCCCCTCTATCTAACCTCTAACCCCTTGCCATGTGTGTTTCCTTCCCCACTTGCTAACTTACCCTCTATTCCCCCACCATAATTCCTAACATCTCCTCATGTCTTTCTCCCTTCCATAGTGACATCTCCCTCTGTTATCCCCTCCATAGTCCCAATGCCCCCTGTCCTGGTGTGTGTGCATCCCATCTGCTAACATTCCGCTGTGTCCCCAGTGCTCCTAACAACCTTGGTATGTGTCACCCCCAACTACTGAAATCCCTTGTTCTACTTTGTAACCCCTAATACTTCCTCAGTGTCACTCCCGCTCACCAATTTACCTCTTGATCTCACCCCTTAATCTCCATCATCCCCCGATATAGCCCTCCTGTAAATCCCCTGGAGTTCCTCATAACTCCTAAAACCACCTAGTGTCCTCCATGCCCCCATCCCAGCCAAAGAAACCAAACACTATCCATGTTGTGCTTTGTGCAGAATAAACAGTAGGAAAGGAAAATATTGTAAAATCCTTACCTTTTACTAAAGGGAAAAGGGAACAAGTTCCTTCTTTGGAAGCTTTCTCTTTACAAGATCTAAAGGAGAAGAGCCCTTCTTGTGGTGCTTACTGTTGCTGCAGGGCTGTAAGCCTCCGGATCTTCTCTTACAAAAAGTATGGTAGGAACTTCAAGACTATATGTGATCAGGAGCTCAGTTTTATGGCTCATGAACCCCCTTTAGCTGGGTGTTTGTGGATTTTTCTGACTCTGAGGCAACAAGAATATCACGTATTGAATCTTGCAGCCGCTAACTGCAGGCCTCCCTTTCAAGTACTAGACCTGTCCATTCTTTCAAAGCAAATAGATGGGAGATCAAATCATCCAGCACTGGTTCCGTGGCCAGTCTTATTCCATGCTGCACTGGGGAGCAGAGGAGCTTCTGTCAGAGGGGAGAGTGCATACCTGTGGTCTAGAGAGCCTGATGGCCTATGTTGTTGGTGATGTGAGTGCAATTTGTTGCATTTCAGAAGCATTCTTTAGGCGTTTATATAGTGGTAGGTAACTCACCAGTCAACTGGGTGTCTGGCAGACCAGATGAGTTATGGGACTGTCCCAGGAACGAAGGGGGGGCAGTCCCTGGCATGTAGAAAAGATGGCAGCTGCCAACATTTAGTGCAGAAAAATGGGTGCACAGCGTAACAGACTGAGATGGAAGCTCTAAAACCTTTGGGTAGAAAGTTCCAGCTCTCCTGCTGTCCCTGTGTTCTTTTCATTCAGGGAAAGCTAGTGTCTGCTTGGACATCGGGTTCATACTTGATTTGGCTATTTGAGGTCTCGTGTGTTGTGTGAACTGTGTCTATAAATGTGTTCTTTCTCTTCCTTTTCAGTCCCCTTGAGTTTGTCATCAGCATCAGTGATGTGAGCAGTCTGGAAATGGGTAAGTGTGTGTGCATTTCTGCTAAACCGTGTTAGAGAGGGTGCGCTGTCTCTAGGTGTGTACAGGACCAAACTCAATAGGGGATCTAAGTGCTGCCTTGACACACCTGGCCTCTGCAATTCTGTGTGTTTTGCCTGGGCCTTATATCTGTGTAACATGTAAAAGAAACTTGCAGCTAAAATGTTCTTTCATTTTTACTGAAGAAGCAAAATGCGTAGTAAGCTGAATCTCATTTCCAGGCACTTCTGCTGCCTCTAGCTTTTGGTATGAACCAGGAGCAGGCTCGATATGAAGGATATAGCACTTTCAGACCCGCGTTTGTTTATTCCTCATGCTGTTTACCTTGTATTGAAGGATCAATATCAATTCTGTACTGTAGCAAACTTGAGAGGGGAAAAAAAGGGCCAGATTCTGCTATCAGTTACATTAGTATAAATTGGGAATAAGCGTACTGAAATCGGTGGTATAAGAGGATATAAACGAGAGGAGAATCATGCCCATAAATGTAACATAAGGATATTAAAACACCTGGGATAGTGCAAGATCAGAACTAAATGTCTTTAATCAGTGAGGCTTCCATTGCTTCATGTGTGAGACTGTTCCAGTCAGTAGATTGCTTGCTGCTAAGAAGGTTTCCAGATAACCTAAATTTTCTGTCCCTTAATTTCCCCTAGTTATAGCCCCATGTATCATCCTAAATAATTCCTCTTCCTTCTTGGCGTTTACATCCTTTAATTAATATTAGTATTTCAGTAGTGCCTAGAGGCCCCAACAAAGTTTAGGACCCCATTGTCCTAGACACTGGACAAACATATGATCATTTCTATTGTGATTGTAAACTCTTTAGGGCAGAGAATCAGCTCTTACAAGCAAAGGGTAGGGGGGGATACTAAGGCACAGATTTGGCAAGATCACACAGCCGGGCAGTGGCAGAGCCAGGAATAGAACTCCCCCATTGTCCTGATTCCCAATTCAGTGCCCTACCGACTAGATCAGGCTGCTTCTCATACTCTGGCATGTAGATGGTTCTTACCTATCTAACAATTTTATCATCTGCTGATGAAAATTACATAAGAGCTGGGTGTTTTTTTTAATTATTATTTTATCATCATTATAAAACTTTTATTGGCTTCTTTACTGTCTTTGTATCATTTATGAAGGAGGGATGAATGATCTCTGAGGATTAGAAGCAAAAAAGGAGGATACAAAACATATTTGGGTGTTTCCATGACATGGGGGGATGTTTTCTAGGTAGAGGTAAAAGGACTATGCCTTTGTTTTGGGGTTACTGTTTCTCCTTGCTTTTTGCAATATGTTCCGATGCTTTTACTAAACCATTCATTGGCATTAGCTGGACAGAAACTCTTTTAAAGTGAGATTTCATGGAAATGCCTGCTTCATTGGAGAGCCCTTTGTGAGAATTGACTACAGAGCTGTGTTTTCTCAGATGAGATTGCTGATCCTGTGAGGATGGAAGCTGGTGATGCAACGTTGGCTAATCATAACTCGATATTCAAGGCCTTTCCTCTACAACAGACTGCTATTCCAGGGGATCAGCTTTCACTGTCTGGTGACAAGGTTTGGGATCATTTCTCTTTACTCATTTACAACTTCACATCCGCCAATTCGAGTTGCTGAAGTGCATCATTTTGACTTAATATTTCTGTTGGTCAGACTTATTTTTAATCTTCTGAAGAGCCAGTTTCAAAACGAAATCCCTCCTTCAAACTCTTTTCTGCTGTGATGCGTACAAGACATTTGACAGTAATTAGGCAACTGATGTGCTGTGACAGCTGCTGTTCATGTTGACTGTTTTTTTCTCATTTTATGTCCTTGTGCTCTCCCTGTCTATACATCCATCCACTTGTGGGCTCTTGTCTCACATTCACATTGTAAACTCCTTGTGGCAGGGGCTGTCTTTTTGTTGTGTTTCTGCACAGTGGGCCCTGATCTGTGACTGGGGTCCTACCACAATATAAATGATAATAGAGTGATGCAGAATAGTCTTTGAATTCTAAAATCTTGCACGTTTGAAATGGCAACCTTTTTAGTATTTGTTTTACAGTAGCATCTGAGGCCTGAGCTGTATTTTGCTGAGCACTCTTGGAAAATATAACAAAAAAAAATACTCTTGCACCAAAGAGTGTATAGTCTGTGTTTACTGATCAGTGTAGAAAGCCACACTTGCATGTGCGCGCGCACACACACACACACACATATTAATATATCATGTGAAAGCTACACGTACAATCTGTGGAAGCTACACATGTCTATGGATACACACAAATATATATTTTGTGGATGCTCCTCCCTTGTATGTGTGTATACACTCTCACGTATATCTTATGGAAGCTACACAAAATTGCATACACTTACTTTTGTGACAACTGTGCGCTTGCAAGATCGTTATGAACATTTACCAGCTTAGGTATAAAATCTGGTTGCCTGCCCCATACTGTGGTGATGATAAACGTAATATTTTACTGGCATCTCAAAAAATAAAATAAAATTCACCCCAGAAGGGTAGAATTTTGCAAGGCTGCTGGTAGTGGATAATGCCATCTCGAAAATTTGCCATGTTGTCAGAAAAGTGTTGACATACTATTGCAACTCATCCTATGATCGCACTGTAACTTGCAGAAGGTATTAGAGTAGTGTAGCTTTATTGGTCATGCCCCAGTGTCAGTTTTCTTTAAATAATAACCTTAACAGTTAATAATTTTGATTCTCTTTTTGTGTAGTTTTTACCAATCAAGTTTGGCAGTTTGGAGAGATCTTTTACATGCTCCACGGGAAGTGCATCATGCAGTCCAAGTTACTACTCAGGTAAAACATGCTTACTTGGAGTCAGTTCAGTTACACAGCAAGTGTCTTCCGAAGTGCTCAGAAATTATAGCATTGCATTAAAACACTTTAGCTCAGGTTAAGCTGGACTTCCTGCTTTGTCACTCATAACATTTTCTCAAATATTGTCTTAGGCTGGGATTTCCAAAGGGAGTTAGGGCCAGGTTCCTTTGAATATCCCATTTTCTCACCCCAGGACTGAATTTTATGTTTTTGGAAAGTTAGAATAACATCTTTACAGCCTTTTGGGTTGTGCAAGTTTGTTTGTTTGTTCTTTGAGGGGGGCATGGGGAGTGTGGATATTTCTAAATGCATCCTTAAGGCCCTGATCCTGGAAGCTGTTCCATGTGGTTGGATTCTTACACATGTAGACAGTCCCACTGAAGTCAAGTTATACCTGAGGCCCTTTAGTGTTTAATGCTGTATAGTTGGAGCTGAGCATGTGGGCTCTTTATTTATTGTTTAATATTTCTCTCCTGGCAGAAATTCCATCCTCTGAGAGTTACCGGGTGTCGGGAGAATTGAGAACGTTTGGACCAAGTGCCAACGGACAGGGGAGGGGTTTGGTACCCACCCTGGGTTCTATGTTACAGAAACCTAGAGTGAGTCGAAACTTGTATCTCGACACTCGCAAAACTCCAAGGTGGGTATGGTTCTGCTCCATCTTTAACACTCTTCCACAGGGTCCTCATTAGAAACCAGTCATTTAAATTGTGTGTTGTGGAGTTTTTACTGCCCCCTCTCTGACATCCAAACAGCATGACATCTTTTAAAAGCCTTCGATAAACAATCCCAAATCTTTCAATAACTTAACAAAGTTCAATATAGCATTGAATGAGTGATGATTTGGTGTCTAATGTGACTCTGCTTTTGCATCCTCATAGATGCCAAGGTCCTCCTGGGCTCTAGCTGTTATTTTGCATACATGGTAGATATATCTGAAAATCTTATCACCGCAGCGGTATAATTTGTCATCTTCAGAAAGTTGGCATAAAACATAGCCTTTTGGGGGGAGGGGCCCATCACAGAGATCCTTAAGCTCCCACTCAGAGAATAGCTGGAGAAACATTCTCCACAACCACGCTATGGTCATTTTTTGCCATTCCATAGTCACTTGGCAGCCAATCGGGGGAAAAGGCGGGAGCAGGGTGTGTATGTGGGGGGAGTGAGAGACTCAGAAGGGAACAGGTTTAAGCCAACTTTAAGTGCGTTTAAAAATTCCTTTTTAGACCTTACCTGAACACACAAGTTGTGGCACTTTCACTATGCCAATCTAGTTAAAACAGTACAACCCCCTTTAGAATGGAGGTATTTATGCCAGTATAAAGCTGCCTTAAGCCAGTATATCTTATTCCCATATAGGGCAGCTTTATACTGGTATACATATGTCCATGCTAGGGGTTGTACTGGTATAATTATATTGGTTTAAAAAAGCACATCCCTAACAAAGTTATACCAGTACAAAAAATTAGTACAGTGAACAGATGGGAATTCATATAGAGTAGCTATTGTAACTATATCTGCATTGCAAAGTGAGTTCATGAATTACTCTCTGGAGCCTGAGATGAGAGAAATGGAAAAAAATATGACTAGGTGAGAATAAGACCAGTGAAGCAGCTGTTAATTCTGCTTCTCTGACCAATAAATAAATATAAAATATATGGAGATATACCTATCTCATAGAACTGGAAGGGACCCTGAAAGTTCAAGTCCAGCCCCCTGCCTTCACTAGCAGGACCAAGTACTGATTTTGCCCCAGATCCCTAAGTGGCCCCCTCAAGGGTTGAACTCACAACCCTGGGTTTAGTAGGCCAATGCTCAAACCAATGAGCTCCCCCCCAGTGGAGACACTGATAGATGGAAGTTTTCATTGACTGCTCAGTGAAAGGTAAGTTTCAATCTCAGGGATGCTGGGACTCCAGTGAATACCCAGAAACTAGACACACAGCATTCAACTTGTTGCTCCCTTTTGGATCTGTGTGAAATATCCTTCTCTGCAATAAAAAGAAAATACGCATAGCAACCGCATCTTGAAAATGATCGTGTGTGGTGAGCACCCGGATAAGAATGGAAAAAAACTGATACGCTACAAACCAGGTTAGGTGGTAATAAATTAGAGCTTTGCAGTAAGTATCTATAGAAACTGATACTAAAGATACAGGGCCAGATGCTCAGCTAGTGTAAATCATTGTAGCTCTGTTGGCTTTAGTGGAGCTGTGACCTCTTATGCCAGCTGAGGATCTGGCCTATTCTCTCTTGAAATATCTGACTTCTTAATATAAAATCGTTGCCATCTCAAGTTAAGATCTCATCCATCTTAACTTTCAAAATTGTGCTTTAATCAGGATCATTGTGCCATCTGGGGGCCAGACTTTTGAACGTACATAAGTGTAAATTCAGCTTAAAGGGGTGTGTGTGTGTGTTCCTGTTAATTTTAGATTGTTTTTAATTTCAAACAAAATGCCAGTTTCTGACTGATCCCCCTTTAAAGAAGATGGCCTAATATTTTTTTAAAAAATCATTAAAAGTTCTAAGGGTTTTCCTGCATCCCTGCTGATGTTCACAAGGATCTTTTGGGTGGGCCTGGGATCAACACTCCCAAATGGAGGCCAGCCCTCTCGTCCCCCTCTATGTGCACATGCCAGTGGCAGCAGTGAAATGCGGACTCTGCACATCTAAACACCTTCCCAGGTCCTTGGAAAGAAGAGTGGAGAATCCAGTTTCCTGCTGTGTCCCTAGGCTCTCCTTGCTCCCTGATCTACCTGGGGGGAGAGTTTCTGTTGTATTCTTGCTCCATACAGGAATCCAGAGAGAGAATAAAAGGGTTGCTCCAGCCCTGCATCAGTCTCCTTTTTTCCCTGGCTCTTTGATGGGGTGTCTGGGAAAACGTTTACATGTCTGTGATTGTAATGCTTATGTTGTAGACTGACATTCTGTCCTCTTTCCACAGTGGAACGTCAAATAGTTTTGTAGGGAAGTCAAACCATCATTGTCACGTATCTGCATACGAAAAAACATTTCCAATCAAGCCCGTTACAAGTCCCTCATGCCGTCGCAGCCTGCTAAGCCCCAAGAAAACCCAGAGGAGATTCGTCAGCACCGCAGAAGAGGTAAGAACAAGCAGGGGAGACTTAAGTTTGAATGCAAGATCTTCCATTGGATAGGACTGTGTGCTGCTGTCTGGGATGGTCAAGTGCTGCTTTCTTCCTGAACTCCAACCCGGACCCCTTTCAAAATCCTTTCAAAATCCTGCTGCAACTGGAGTGGGCCGGATGGGGGCAACTTCCCCTTGAAATCTCAGGAGGGGGGAAATGACGAGAGAACCTCAGGAGACCTGATTCAGCCTTGTGAGATGTGAAGAACTTGAGCAAGGGTTCCTGTGCACTTTGAAGACTAGAGTCAACGTTCCCCTTTATAGATGGAGTAGTGCCTGCTTCTGATGTACTTTCAATTTCCATTAGGCAAAAGTTCGGACTGCAGCCTTGCTCCTGTGGAGTTGGCAAGCTCTGCAATCAGTCTAGCCCTGGTAGCTCTCTGATCCAGTGGAGCTTAAGTTCTGTATGTTCCCGAGACCACTGGTGGGCGGATGTCTGCTCTAGCAGAGTATATATAATCCACAGCGTCTGTCTCTGCTCCTGCTCGCTTGCTATTATTGATAGTGTTTGTATTTGTTAAGTCTGACTTAAGTCTTAGGGCAGTGGTGAAGTGTCGGCTTATTTCTCTGCAGACAGTTCGAGAGGAAGAGCGAGAGATCTACAGGCAGCTGCTTCAGATGGTCACAGGAAAACAGTTCTCAACATCCAAGCCGGCCTCGCTTTTCCCCCTCCACCTGTGAGTATATGAAATACCCTCCCCAAGTGAGAGTCAGTACCATGGTGCCAGTTCTTCTTCTCCGGGAGCTTTAATCTTTTGTTTGTGTGTAGGCCCAGATGTTTGAGTTCCAGTAAAAACGTAGTGAAAGAAACCCCATGCAAGAATGCAAAACCATTTGAAACGTACAGCCTCGCTCCAGTCAGCCAGTCAGCTAGTGTTCTGGGAACACAGGAGCAGCCATCACACAAGCCACCACCGTACCCTGTATCCAGTTATCCCTCAAATGTTACTTTTGAGTCCGATAATACCACCACTCAGCATCAGCAAGATAATCTACCAGCATCCAACGCCCAGCCTGAAGGTAAAAATACACTGAGATCAACTAAATGTATAGGTCAGAGATTGCCTTTTTGTTCTGTATTTTTTCCCCCACAGCGCCAAGCACAATGGGGCCCTGGCCCTGGCCTGTGACTGGGGCTCTTAGGTGCTACTGCAATACATGTAACAAATAATGGTTTGAGTAACATTTTAAACCAATGCTCGTTGCTCGCTTTCATCCCAAGTTTTGCTTGCAGTTCACAGACAGATTTCAATCTAATTTATTCCCCTAGTGGGAGAGGAGGGGTAAATCCTGATTTGCTGTCCTCGTAGTGGTTTTGCTGAATTGTAGGAGCAGCAGATGTTTGAAGACAGGTTAAATTGCTTCCTTGTTCAAAATGCCTAAAAGGTCGATGGCAACATAAGCGTAGCATTGTGGTCGTTGGTAGAAATTGCTATAGTGAAGGTCACAAGTAGATTCCATTTCCAACCCAAAAGATGTATGTTTCAGATGGCTATTCAAAAATGAGCATATAATGGAAAGTATTTGACAGCCAGTTTTAATTGGCACTGCCTACCGCCTAATCATATATTTGCCCTTCTGTGGCACTCTTAATCCATGGGACTCAAAGCATGTTGCAAACAATAATACATGTTGCATCTTCTCTCCTGAGAGATGGGCTATAAGTCGGGAAGTGCAGGAAAAGAGAGAGAAATTGAGGAGTTCTATCACCATCCTATTCCCTGACCTATTTGTTAAATTTTAAAGCCTGAGGAATTGATAATAAATAGGGGGTTACAAAATTGCATTGTCCTTGGCATGTATCAAAATCACAGGTCCCAAATGTGGTAGTTTCAATACAAATGTATCTAGAGAACCTGCTAAATAACAAACCTCTTCCAGGTTCATTCCAAATACTCTGTGTATCCGGTCAGTTTAAACACACAGCAGCAGCTATTGCATCGAATACGGCAGTACAATACAGCAAACATACAATTTACTTCTTTCTTTCCCTTCCTGCTGCTTATCTTATTTCCCATTGTCCTTCTAGTCTCCTCTGTTCTATTCTCTCCTCTTTCAAGCCATTCATACTTCCTCTGCCTGTTACAATTTTATGTATTATTTTAGATTATTTTCATGGTTTGAGACAGTGTTAGTTTTCAGCACTAATATCTTCTAGGGTAACATGAATGATTTTGTAATCTTTTATTTCTATAATCTAAAATCTAATGTACCTTGAAAGCTGAGCTTTCAAAGGAACCTAAGGGAATTAGGCATCCAAATCGGGCATCTGCTTCCCTTAGATTCCTTTGAACATCCCAGTCTGAAGTTTAAAATGAAGATCAGAATTTTGAATCCAGACTGAAATCCTGTTTTAAGTATGGAAATGGGCATAAGGGACAGAAATTTGCATAGGGAGTATAGTAAAAACTAGCCAGGGTTTGATGAATATTCTTTCTTTTGCTCTGGGTAGGATCAGACTCGGTCATTGTGCTCAAGGTAAAAGATTCCAGAACTCCGGCTCCAAGGTAAGTTTGTAAAATGGCACATATAAAAAGGGTGGTAATTACTCTCCAACTATCTTCCTGCCTCTGGTTAATTGGCTGTTTTCTTTGCTCTGTCCCTGCCAACTTGCTCAGATTCTGCACTTTGATTATCTTTTCCATAAGACTAGGTTAGTCATCTATTCTGATCACCACCATGTTGCAGGGTACCTCCCTCCACTGCTTCCACTGACATCTAGCATGTCCCTGAGTCTGCAGTGATGGAGCCTGGGGCACCTCCCTTCCGAGTTTGAATACTGTTTCCTAAAATCTAGACTAAACATTTCTCTGCTTAGCTCAGGCCATTGTTCCTTATGTCATTATCTGCTGCGATTGTGAATAATTCCCTTCAATGGAAACCTTTCCTGGAAGCTATTTCTAGACTGTGGCATTGTCTCTGTGAGGCTGCACTTGAATTTACATGAATTAAATCTCCCACATTCTCTCCTTCGTGTCTGATGCACTTATCCTTGTATCATCTTTGTCACCTATTTTAATTTCCCCTAGTCTCTCTTTTCACTTCTTAAATTGATGTATATGGGACTGGGAGGACCATTCCAGGCGGCACAATTCTAGTGATGTGCCGAGCAGTACTATCGCCTGCCTAGTTATACAAGCAATTTCCCTACATATACATCTCTAAATAGCATTGTCTGTCTTCGTAATGGCACCGCACTGTGACCTTTTTAGTTTTCTCTCCCACTGTTTTTTTTTCCCCCCCTGTAGGCTTGATATTTTCCATGTAACTGACTTCCCCCTATTTCCCACATCTTGTATCATCGCTGGTATCCTGGCAGAAAGTTAAATGTAGAAATGGTTTCTATGCAGTGTAGAAAATCTGACCCTTAAGATTCTGTGCTTAAGCTTTTATAAAGTGCTTAGCAATCCCCATTGGAAAATCAAGGCCAGGGCTACTCTTAAAAGTTTTGCGGCATAATTAAACTAGCAAACCCCTCCTAGTAGAGTGACAGCTGTACTGGGGTAAAAGTGCTTTTGCTGATATAGTTTATGCCAGCTCCCTGAACTGGCAAAGGCACTCTGAGGTTGGTGTAGGTTTATCTACACTAGGACGTACATAGCTATATTGGTAAAAAATCACATCTCTAACTGACATAACTATGCTTGTCTGACTTTTAAGTGTATTACTGTTGTTATCATTTTTACTACAGATTGCAACTAAAAGGCCCAATAATTTTGGCTAATGCTATATTAAGCTTTCATTTGATGGTGAAGGTTACTTTGATGCTGAAGTTACTTTTAAAATAAACTAGGGGGAAAATATTTGTCCGCTGAGAAATAATTCAGGTTTCTGTGTATTCCTGTTTCTGTTGATACTTCTGTTCTCATGTTGATTGATCGTGTTCTCATGTTGAACTTTCTTTCCTCTCATGACTGGGCTGATATGCATGTAATTGACTTGAACCTTAACTTTAAAGGTGGTTTTAAATTTTTCACTTTTCATCCAAGGGGTCATGGCATTCTCAGATTGCAGTTGTTTGTTATGTGAGCAATTAAAAGAGTTTTCTACTGTCCATGTAGAGGCAATATTCACGTTTTGTCTTGTTTTTTCCCCCTCTTTTAGCCTCCCTTTCTTCCAGGCAGAATTGTGGATCAAAGAATTGTAAGTCCTTCACATTTTGATTTTTTCCGTTTGCTTTGGTTTGTTTTTATTCAGAAGGTCAACAAATGACCTAACAGCTCTAAGATCTAGACCAGTTTTACAAGGTATGTAGGCACCTAAAGATGCAGATAGGTACCTAATGGGATTTGCAAAAACACCTGTCTGCATCTTTAGCTACCTAAATAACTTTGTATATCTGGCCCCCCCTCTGTCCAGATGGCTAAATTCTCATCCAGCCCCTTATCTGATGTCTTGACTATTGCAATCTTGCCTCCCTTCAGTCTATTCAGAATCTTGCCCTCTTCCTAGCTTTAATCATCTCTCTTCTGTCATAGAATCCATCCCCCGGCTCTATCTTTCACACGTTCCATACAAGCTTCTTGACCTTCGCCTTAAGGTGCTTTGCAGTTTAGCTCCTCCCAGCCTATCAGATCTATCACAGCATTGACAGCTACCTTTCTACCAGCTTTTTCTACCTGTTCGTCTGCTTTTCCCTCAAGCACCTCTGAGCTTTCTCCCATGTCATCCCCTTAAGCATGGTACAAACTTTTCCCAGTACTTATCCTCCTTCAGCTCCGTGCATAAGGTTCACTTCCTCTGTGATGCGTACAGAACGTTTCCAGCTTATAACAGGGAAGCAGGTGACAAACTACATTGTGCATGCGGACTGACTTCAATGGGAACACTCACATACTGTAAAGTCAAGCACGTGTTGAAGTACTTTGCTGGATCAGGGCCAGAGGTCTTGGCACTTTGCAGGATTAAGCCATGTATTAAGTGCTGTATTGACACTGATTCCCAACGCTTTGCTTGGCTCTGGGCCATGCTATGGGTCTCTTCCTGCTAGAGACACCTGATTCATCCCATTTTTGCCTTGAAAAACAAAACAAAACTACCACTGCTCCCTCTCTGGAAGTTCTTGGGCTGTAGTGAGACAGGTGGGCTGGGAGAGGACACAGCTGTCTTTCTGAGAGATGCTGAGATAGAAACTTCTTCTTGTTTGCCACCTGCCTGAAATCTGCACTGTGGAGCTTCCCAGTGTTCTGTGCTGGTGGAAACAGGCACAAGCAAGTAACAGAAGGTGAAAAATTCTCAGTATTTCAGGTACTTGGTATCCATAATCCCTTTGCTGATGCCAGAATATGAACGGTTTACGGCACCCAAGTAAACGTGAATGGCAGATAATACAAAGTCTGTTCAGTAGTTCCAGAGCTGTGCACAGTGAATTTGTTAATGCAGACAAGAAGCTAACCCAGTGGCTGTAGATACTTTAATATGATCTGTTTTCCATTTTTTGGTCCTCTTTAACACCTGAAACAAACATGCTGTTTGTACCAATGTCTTTGTTTTCCAGAACCAGCGTCTATGATTCCCGAGCCCGCGAGAGATTGCGTCAAATAGAGGAGCAGAAAGCTTTGGCATTGCAACTGCAGAGCCAGGTAAAACATTTGGGCATGTCTAGCACTGAGCATTGGGGTTTAAAGCTGCCTTCCAGTTGCTCCAGATAGTTGGTGGCTTAAAATATATAGAGTTGGAAGTAGCGTGAGCCAGTGGATATGCTGCTGGACTGGGGATCACAAATAAATGTCTGCTAACTAAAGGGGATTGCACATTAAAATGTAAATCAGAAGGGGTCATGAGGAAACAAACAAACAAAAAAATCCTTCCACCTCCCTAAAGTTTAATCTCACCTTTTTCCTTTTTGAGGCCATTGTTGTCTAGGGCAAACACTACCATCTCTCTCTAGCCCCTGCCTGCCGCCAGCTGGCATTACTGGATCTATGTTGCTCCCTCACTAGCCCAGGCAGAGGGCTTATTTGAATCTAGGTCTCCACAGCCAAAGGCTTAAGGGCGTGAACCAAAGCTCTTCTCTCATTGACTGTAATGGTTTTGGGATTAGGGCCTTCAGTGCACGGACTCACCCACTACATTGCTCCTTTTGACTTTTTACCAGAAGCTGTAGCTCTAAAATGAGTCCCTCCGTCCAAGTCACTGGTTGGGAGTTGGGCGCCTGACACTCAGAAGGTGCTACAAAAACCCTCGGCTGTTATGCTGAGCTAAAGATCTCTCTTTCAGAGATTGCAGGAGCAGGAACACTTGATACAGGACCCAGTGGATTTGAATCTTCGAGTGCCTCTTGAGAAGGAGATCCCAGTCACAGTTCTCCCAGAAGAGAAAGAGAATGCTAAATCATCTGATAACGAAGAGGAATTCCCTGAAATCACAGAGGTAGATCTGCATAGGATATTAACACTTGAGGCTATTAGCATGTCTTGGAGAAGCACTCTGTGTGGCAGATGTTGATCTTGAAATTGATTCAAAATACCATGGGGAGGAAGGGAAAATGGTACACTAAGAGCTGTTCATTAAGTAAAGCAAGGCGGGGTGTCTTTCTAAAAGATATGCTATAGCTCATATGGGAGTTACAGACTTGAGGCAGGCCTTGATGGATGAGGTTCTCTGGCCTGTGTGATGCAGAAGGTCAGACTCCTTTCTGGCCCTAAAATCCGTGAATCCCAATGAAGCCAAAGAACAGAGAGGCTTCCACATGGACAGTCTCTGCCCAGTATTATTCCTACTGCCATTGCTTCAAGACAGTTTTGTATTGTTCCAGTGGGATTAACTACCAGATACCCAAATCCTCATTGTGCTTCTGCAGTGTCACTGTCACATCATTCAGAGATGTCTGGTGGCCTGTTCTTAACTTGGGCCTTGACTCCACATAGTTTTTTGTGCCAGATTCCTGAGCTCAGCATTTCAGGATCTTTTTGCTTGTTGGAGTTGTCATAGGACCAAGCCTTTCCCTTTCGCCTTTGGAAAGGGAAATCTCTTTACTAGTTTAGATAGCTAGAGTTTATGGGACTGGAATATCAGACGCTCCTTTTGTGTTCTCTGTAGGAAATGGAGAAGGAAATCAAGAGCGTATTCCGCAGTGGAAACCAGGATGAGATCCTGAGTGAAGCTTTTCGGTTAACGATAACCCGGAAAGACATTCAGACCCTGAACAACCTGAACTGGCTTAACGATGAGGTAACTCCTTCACCAACGCGACTGCGGGTTCCTTACTTCTAAAAGTGAAAAGATTCTGGGGGAAGCAGTAGCTACTCGGCACTAACTCTTACTGCACACTGAGTGCCCTTAGCTAAGCTGTCTGAGTGCACTTTTAGTGCACGCTAATTGCGTCCACATGGAGAGTTCGTGCAGAATAGCTGAGACGCTTTAAATTCACACCGTAGTTTACTGCATACAGTAGTAAGTAGAGTCGAGTGCATAATTGACTTTTCGGTTTAGTGGCCCCCCAAAAAATGTTTGGATCCAATGAAACTTCAAATGTCAATTCCAATCAACATTTCTGATTCCCCCCCCCCCCCCTTCAGTATTGGCTGGAAAAAAAATCCACCAAATTTGACCCAAATTTGAAACTAGTTTCTGTGGTCCAAAAAATTCATTTTTCAGCAACTTACTATTCAATATTTTTTTTTTTTGCCCTGCTCTAGTAGTAAGTTAAAGTGAGTAAACTTGTCACCGTTCCTTCCCCCCCCCCCCACCCCCTTTCTTCTCTAAGGCTACTGGGGAAGGAGTGGGATGATGGTGGATAATCTGAATGGGGCAGTGTTTTGCTCTTTTGCTATATTTTAACTTAAGCGATAGTTGTCCATAGTGCAGAATGGGTACCTATAGCTACACTCTAGGAACTCTGAAGAAATAACTACTACTTAGTGTGTAGGGCCAAAATTTCAAAATCCAAGTAATTAAAATTAATTTCTGAAATACATTTTTAGAAATATTCTTTTGCTCAGAGAACTCACTTTTTCATGTGCATGCAAAGTAATTATTGTAAAGTGACCAGCAGTATAACACTGACACACATGGATGCTTTTCCCTCCCAGATAATTAATTTCTACATGAATTTGCTGATGGAGCGAAGCAAAGAGAAGGGGTTGCCGACAGTTCATGCGTTTAATACCTTCTTTTTTACTAAATTAAAAACTGCTGGGTACCAAGCAGTGAAACGGTGGACAAAAAAAGTAGATGTTTTCTCTGTGGATGTTCTCTTGGTGCCTATTCATCTTGGAGTCCATTGGTGCCTAGCCGTGAGTATTAATTTGTTTAATGTTGTATTAAAAAGAATGACTAGCCGGAACAGATGCAACATGAATTCGTTTATGTTCAAGCTGAAAACTTCCCCATCCTCTTTTGTGGTTTGTGCACCAGGCAGATATGCACTGAGAAATTCACATTCATGGCTAAAGAGCAGGACTTCTATGGAGGGCCACAAAATATGTGTAATTTTTAAAGCGTGATTCTAACCTAAAAAGTGGCTCTGTAAAAATGAGATGACCTCATTTTTGTCTTGCTGGGATTCATATCAGATTTGCTAATTTTTTGAATAAAGAGATTTCGCCCCATCGATCCCACAAACTCATCCTACGCTCTGACAGCCAGTCAAGGTTTTTCACTCTGATTCATGATTACCAGTAATAAAGGGTTCTGTGGGCCAAATTAAGCCCTCTGCTGTACCTGCACAACTCAGTGGTCCCTCCGAGACACCTTTTTCCTGGGAAAGAGGAAGTCACTTGGTTTACTGTATTATTAACAAGTCTTTCTCTTTATGTAGGTTATAGACTTCAGGAAGAAAACCATCACCTATTACGATTCCATGGGTGGAATAAACAATGAAGCCTGCAAGATACTGTTGTGAGTAGCCGCTCTGTATTTGAGTGTCACTGTTTTTGTTTAAGTGTTACAAATATTCCTATTCCTTACTAAATGATGAAGTGTAACACGAGAAATTTAAGATTCCGAGAATAGATGGAACGCCGTGCTCTTGGCCACAGCTAATAGCTGAACATCCAGAAGCAGCTAAGGATACGGCTCCCGCCATGTTTTTGGTCAATGTCACACCCTCTTAGCTGAGGGAGCAGGTGTTACCACCATTTCTTCCAGTTGTTTCCCCACTGTGTAACTTCTGTTTTATGTGGGGTGGGCCTAACCTCGCTAACTCTCATCCCAAAACCCAGCCTCTACTTGACACTGGCTTCTGCCACATCTGGGCCTAAGGAAATAAACACACGGAGTTGTGACATCTGTATACTGAAGACATTGTAGCCCACTGCCTCGCTATCTTCTCTAAGAACCACTCGTGTTGAACAGAAAGGTGATGAAATAGAACTATGTGGGTGCACCACATAAGAGGTCCATCAGGGTATGCAAACTATTGCACAGTGCTATTCTCTATGTCCAGGGAATGGAACCACTGGCCCAATCCTCGTATAGGCCTGTCAGGTGCAGTCTTTTAATAGCCTTCCTTAGGGACATCCTTGTGGTTACAAGTTCATCAGAGACTCAGCTCCAAACAAGCACACTCATAACGTGTTCAGTTGCTTTTTATACACTTCAGAGGTCTTTGAAGAGGAGTTTCCAGGAGCTGGTAGTATGCAAAGGATCTCTCTTCTCTGTGGTATATCTTCAAAAGGTTGGCTTTGGAGTGGGAAAATTTGTATTCTCACCTCAAGATATTTCCCGCAGAAGTCCACTTCTCATGTATTGTTCCAAAAAGACCTTTAGATTTCCTCATGCCTTTCAGAGATTAATGCAATCTTGTCTTTCTGCTGCAGAAGTTCTGTAAAATCACACAATAGTACATAAACATTTGCATTTGTAATACAATGACCTCCAAAAACTCTAATTCAATAAGGTTTAATTTAATTCAATAAACTTAATCTTAACTCCATTAAGTTTGCTCTGGATATTACAGGACATTGTCAATCCATCACAATCTTCTCTACAAGAAAGAAAGCAGGACTGGTTTTCAGATCAAAGAGATGGATTCTGGTCAAGAATCCAACATCTGCCTTTTTGAGAGATGGCACCTGTTGATATCTCCTCCAGGAAGGAACCTGGTGTTTCCCTTCTGGATTTTGCAAACCTAGTGCCCATGTCCTTATCTTGGCCTGTCCGTGGCAAATACCTTGGGTAACGTAGCTCCTCCATTACAGACTGACACATTCCTCCCGCTTTCCCTCCACCTCCCAAAAAACACAAACGTATCACTCTCCCAAGAGGATCATTAAGACATAGAGAATGGTGACCTAGGTGGTGGGTGGTTTGTCTCATGCTGAGCACCAGAGCTCCTGATGAAAGTCTGTGCATGTCATTTATGTCCCTGATGAAGCTCAAGGCATGAACATGCCTTAGCTACTGTTACCAACCTGGATCGGGACTAAGATATTTTCTCTCTCTGACTCATGCTGAAAATCAGGTCCTGCCTTCATGCCCGTGAGCATGACTCTAGGATATGTGTGGAGCCTTCAGTGTGAACATGCTTGCCTAAAAGTCTGGAGAGTTGAAAGGAGTATCTGAAGTATTGCGAAATCAAGAAAAGAAAAGAAACAAAACCATCCCAAGTAGCCCCTGCAGTTTCCCAAACCGAGAAGCTGGTTCGTTAGAGCAGGGGTACAAATGCAGCAGTGTACAAAATGGGCAAAACTTTCAAAGGTTTCCAAGTCCTATTTTCAGAAGTCATTGAGGTGCAGAGGTCCCCAAGTCTCATTTAAAATCAGCGGGACTTAGACTCAAGCGACTTTTGAAAATAGGACTCAGGCTCCTATGTCACTTAAAAAGAACAGGAGTACTTGTGGCATCTTAGAGACTAACTATGTCACTTAAAGTATTTCTTATTCTAGGGTTAAATTGGTCTGGTAGCTAAATCTCTCTTTAGAGTCACAGCACACTCAAGTGATGTGTTCCGGTATTGCAGGGGATGTGTTCTGTGCTTTTTCTGAAACCCTTTTTGGTTTCTCTCTGTTTGCACTGAGCGAGTCATATTTAGAATTGGAACAGTCGGCAATAATCTAAATTAATATAAATGAAATATGGACGTGAAATATAAATGCCTAGGTAGGAATCGCTTTCAATATAATATTGATTATATTTAGTACCTTTCATCCCTTAAGATCTCCAAGTGCTCTCTGAGTTCCATATACCAGAATCACTTCACTCCCTACAAAAATAGCTCCATGGCTTCTCTTCCATTTCTAAGCAGCTAAGCTGAGAGATTCATAGATTCCAAGGCCAGAAGAGACCATTTAGTCTGACTTCCTGGATAGCACAGGCCAGAGAACTTCCCCAAAATAACTCCTAGAGCCGACCTGGTAGCAAAACAGCCAGTCTTCATTTAAAAACTGTCATTGATGAAAAATCCACCATGACCCTGGTAAATTGTTCCAATGATTTGATTAATCTCACGGTGAAAAATGTACACCTTATTTCCAGTGTGAATGAGACAAATCTGTGAGAGGAAGAATTATGAGAAAAATGTAAAACCTCTGAAAATGGGCTTAGAATACAGTGGTCTCAGACTTAACTGCTGTTGCTATAGCAAGAAGTCACCAACATCTGGTAAATAACGCTACAACTGAGATGTGATCAAATAACTCAGGAGATGCTGCCTAGTAGTGCATTTAGGGTTTTGGGCTGAGGACCCAGCTCTTTAGATCACTAGCTAACAAAACTGTTAAGCTACAGCATAGTGGCCTTGGATTTTGGCCTATTGGCTAATGGGATAGGTGGGATTTGAGATAGAGACCCAAGATTTCAGCCTGTTGGCTAACAGCACAGTTGGAATCGACAGTAGCAACCTGCAATTACAGCTCATTCTTGCCCGTGCCATAATTGCTTTTCCCTTTGTTTCCTTTTAGGAGGCTTTTTTGGTTGAATGCACTGGGAGGATCACACCGGGAAGAGGGGACGGAGGTCCTATTCATGGTTAGTGACCCTTTCATGCTTTCAATCTTTAGAGCTTCCTGAAGGTGGTGAGTTTTTAAATGATTTTTAGCCCCATTTTACTGATGGGGATGATTTTCAGGCATAGAGCGGTTCGGTGATTTGCTGAAGGTCACATGGCTAGGAATGAATAATGGTTCCCCAGCTTTCTATAGCTGGGTGAATGTTATGGTAGTTGTGCTCTACGCTGCTATTTGGGGGCCTGGAGTATGTGAATGTCATGGTAGCTGTGCATTAGACCTTGCAAGTGAGGTAGGGTTGGGCCTGGTCAGTATTTGGATGGTGATCTTCCAAGAAGGTGATGCTGGTTATTCAGTTGTTTTTTTGATTGTATCCCTCTTCATAAATCCAGTGCCTGGTAGCAAAGTGCCCTGTGCTATACTAGGAGATTCTGTGTTTTGACTCAGGGCTTGTACACGCTACCTCTTATGTCGGCATAACTGATGTCACTCAGGTGTGTGAATAAGCCACACCCTGAGCCACGTAAGTTGCACAGGTATGCACAGTGCTGTGTCGGTGGGAGAGCTTCTCTCACCAACATAGCTACTGCCTCTCGCGGAAGCGGTTATGATGCTACCAGGAGAGCTCTCTCCTATCAGCATAGAGTGTCTTCACCAGACACACTACAGCGGCGCAGCTGCATCGGTAGCACTTCTCATATAGACTAGCCCCCAGGTATAAAACTAAGGTCCTAACCTCTTATGGTCATTACAAATCTCAGTATCATTTTCTCAAGAATAGGAGTGTTAAAGGGACGACTTAAAAATCATACTTATTAAATCTTTTTATCTATGGTTACAAGTCTCACCTAAGAATGCCCAGAACTTGAAAGATAAGAGGGGAACGTTTTCCCTGGTTTTTCTGTTTTTTTTTTTTTTTTTTTTAACTCTATGCATGTAGCAGCAAATTTGTCATCGATTTCAATGTTTTACCTGCAGAATCAGTCAGTTTCTTCTGTTTGTGAAGATCTTGGAGGGAAAAATATTTTGAACTTTAGATTATAAATCCACAGAATTTTTTTGGGGGGGAAGGGGGGATTTAGGACCTGAAGACTCTTAGCTGTACTATTTTTTAAAAAACCTGACTATATCAATTTGATTTATCCCTTTTAATCCCAATGTCCTGACCAAATGCAACCTGGAAAAATTAAATTTCTGCCTCCATAAATTTCCTCATGCAGTTTCAACTGGAGAGATGCATCTTCTTTCCCCCCCCCTAAAAACTTGTTTTGGGTTGTTGCTTTTGCACAATTGTTGCCATGTTAATGTTTATTGTGGCTACATTCATGTGGTGCCTTGAGTGGTCCTTATATGTGCAGACTCTAAATCCCCAAGGGATACTTCTGAAAAACAGCATGAGAGATGGTCGCTGTTCATGATATGTATGTTGCTGTTAATTCCCGTGCTGTTCTAGGAACCATGACGTAGAATGTCCTGGCCTTTGTGCATTTACCCTCTCAACCCCAGCATTGCAGTAATATGGTTTCCAATGACTCTAGATTAGATTACATGAGCCGCCGAATCTAGTTCTTCACTAGAGCTAATAGGCTGTTTTACACCTCTGCTGCATTCCCTTTACCCGCTACCCCTTGATCCTGCTCTTGGCTCCCCAGGCCTGCCCAGAGTCTCATGGTTCACCCACGTAGATCCAGTTGCAGAACTGAGGTCTCATTCTGAAATACATTCCAGTTGAGCTTGCATGGTGCAGTCTCTATAAATCTGCTATGTATTGTTCTGAGTGCTGTTCTCTTTAGAGTGTGTGCAGATCAGCATTCTCTTTGGTTATGCCATTGGTTTACTAGGCATTGAATTTACATGTGCAGACTGGTAGGATTTCTTCTTTTAAAAAAAAAATCCCGAGAGTGTTTGTATAGTGCAATGAAAGATAGAAAGCACCAAAGAATAAGAGACAGGCAAGTTCTTGTTTTCCCTAGATCCTGACCTTTTCCCCCAGCACCATAGGATTGGGCTGCACCTATCTACCAGTATATACCACGGGCAGCTCAGACTTCTGCACGGGGGCTCTGCCACACCTCCAAACAGTCTCTCACAAGATTCTCTTCCTCAGGCCAGCTGTACAGGGTGGGGGCTCAACTCTCCCTGCTTCCCGTTTACAGACTTTTTTTGTGAGTTTGGGGCTAGTTGTGAGCGATTTGCCTCCCCCCACCCACCCAACCTCTTTCCTTCTCTGCGGCCAAAACTTGGAGAGTTTAAAGACTATCCAACAAGAGAAGGCTCTTCTCCAGAACTGCACCACCTTCCAACCTCCTCTCATGTATTTGACACCATCCTTTCCTCACAGCCTGGATAAGTAAGCCAGCCGGAATAAGCGAAAAGTGAGGAGACCCCTACTTAGAAGCCATTGTAGAGATTGCAGTCAGCCAGGAGACCCTTGCTTAGCCAATGAAAGGGCTTGGAGTCTGGATAGCTTATTGAGGCTTCTCCATCTCCCCCCATGCCAGCAGACACTGGTAGAAAATATATTGCTTGGAACAATCTAATTCCAGCTAATATGCAGGGAGCTGGACTGCCCCCACCAGACCCTGTTTGCATCCAGCAAAATGCAGACTGCCTTTTCTCCAAGGAAACAGGCCAGAGATCACCAGGAATGGACACGTTGGTGAAGGAAGGATGGACTAGCTCCCACTCTTCATTCAGGGCTGTTCCAAGTTATCTACCTGCTGTCAGTTTAGCTACTCTGCTTTCATATTCAGTGCCCATCTTGTGTAGATTGTTCTGTTAGAAGGTTAAGTGACTTTCTGCCACAGAATTTGCCATCATTTCAGCATGTAGATTCCAGTTTCTTGTAACTCCTTGAAGAAATACTTCTGGCACAGTGGTCATGTTTTGGGACTGCCCCAGGTCTTGTTCTTTCCACAGACGATCCTGGAAATCGGGGATAGACAACCTGACTGTTCTTATCTCTAGGAAGCTGATGCCCTGGAGTCTCTCTGACCTTGACTACATTCGCCATGGAGGGAGGAGCCCCATCTATGCTGCTTGTCTTGAGGCTGATGTCCATTGGCAGGATTTGCCAATGGGGATTGCAAAGGAAGAATTCTGCTATCTGCTTTTCTTTTTCCTCTAGCCAGGGGACAGTATTACTGGATGGCTTCCTCACCTTCCTTTATGTTGAGACTGTTTCCAGGCATCTAAGAGGAATCCTTGAAGCTCTTGTAGGTGCAGCCTTGCCCATGAGGTTATCTCTGTACAAGAGAGAAGGTATGGTGGGTGGATGGTGGAGCTCTGCTCCTCCACACCTGTAGGATTATGGGGAATTGACCCCTGCTCTTATGGACTTCTTTACAGGGTGGCCTTGAGCTGGGCCTCAAGCATTGCACCTCCTGTCTTGCCATGTGTCATCAGCTCTGGCTCAGGCATGTCTGCAGCGGATCACTTTTCCTTGGGCTGGCACCTCTGTCCAAACTGACAACCAAGCCCATGTTTCTTACCTGGGATCTTCCCACTGTGCTATTGGCTTCTGTGTCCCATCCATTCAAGCCCATGATATTTAATCTCTTATTTCCTTTCTATGCTTCCTGATCAAAACCACCACGGCAAGAAGAATCCCTGAAATTTCTGCTTTGAGAAGATGCAAGCCCTATGGGACCTTCCGGCGGGACAGCATTTTTCTTTAGAGTTCAGAGTCCTTTGTAACCAAGTTTTAAGTCTGCATTCGCTACCTTACAGGAAACTAGTTGGTCTGTCCAAGGTAGCTGAAAGGAAAAGCCTGGCATGTGCTAGACAGCAGAAGAGCAGTGAAAATTTACCTTAGGAGAACCGAACAGCTGAGGGGAAATATCATTTGTTCATCACTGTTCAGCCTTAACGCCTGGGCTTGGTGGAGCATTGGAATCCTCCTACGCCAGGCAGAGCTCTGCATCACCACGGCTTGCACAGCTTCCAATAAACCGATTCCAGAATGGATTGGAGCCCCATCAACCCGCCCCAGCATCCTGATCAGAAAGTGCCTTAGCTACTACTGAGGAGACCAACCTGCAAAGCTGGCCCCTGGTCATCCGTCAGCACCTGCAGCAGCCTCTTTCAGCCGGAAGGTGCTCCCAGGAGCAGTCCCAAAATACTAATCTTTAGGGAAGGGGGAAATTACATTCTTTGAACGTTCTTCTCTCTTCCTGCCCTGCCAGTGTTTCCATACTGCTAGTTGCACTCCACTTGCTTGGGTCTGGGGATGAGGTCAAGGTCCAGAACTGAAAATCTGATTTCCCTTTTTAGGAGTGACCTCGCCCCCAGTCCACCCAACCAAGATTAGTTCTTCAGGTGATTTTTGCGATGGCCTCTTTGGAGTCCATGCCTATGGCCTGCATAAGAGGTTTATAATAAATCTACTGATAAGACATTTTGGGTTTCAATGCAGTGTGGAAGCACTTGCCTGGAGAGGGATTGTTTTGAGGTGTGGCCTTCAAAAGAGAGGTCTGAGTTGTCTCTGGAAGAGAGGCACAGCCCAAATGTCTGACTGGGGCAGAGGTCCTTTCTGGAATAGAAATAACTAAGCAACGGATTTTCTGTTATTTCACTGGTACCACACTTGCCTTTTTCCAGTCCTCAGGCACCTGCCCTGATCTCAGTGATTGCTCAGAAGTGAGGGCCACCTTGTGAATAAATTCACGAGCCTATTTCTTGGCAACCCTAGGCTGCACTTCATCTGGGCTTGCTCTCTTGAATTGATTGTTTTCCTATTTTCCTTTACATTTTGTATCATCAAGATAGAAGTCTCCAAGGAATTTCCCTGCAGTCAGATTGGCAGGGACCTGGGGGGTTGCATACTTCAAAGCATGGGGCATGGTTTACATGAGATCATCTGGGTATATCTCACCTAATCAATTCTTGCCATTGCAGGGGCCTTGGGCATCGATGGCACCTCAGTCTCTCCTAGTCTCTGTATGTG